GCATCGCATTTTAGCATCGAACTAGCATCGAATTATATAGCGTCGAATTTGCTTCGTCTTAGCGTCGGTTTTTTAGAAGTAGGTGAACCCATTAAAAACGTGCGACCTACCTACCCAGTTCAACGGAATATTCGACGCTAAAACCGACGCTATATGATCGACGCTAATTTAGCGTCGAATTAGCGTCGAATTGAAGATGAGGACGCTAAATCGACGCTAATTCGATGCAATTTAGCGTCGAATTAGCGTCTCTATTTTTCGTCTCAATTTTGCGTCGAATTAGCGTCRAATTTTTTGAACGACACAAAAACGACGCAAAAGCGTCRCAAATTTTGTGTCGACGCAAATTCGACGCTAAATTTCGACGCTAAAACTGTTTTTTCTTGTAGTGCCAAATCCGTCTCGAATTATGTAAAGAGATACAAGCTCGTCATCATTTTTACGAAGTTCATCTCGGATTGTGTAAAGGGCAACATGCTCATCGTTTTTATAGCTTGTATTAAATTAAATAAAAGATACAAGCTGGTTATTTTTATCAAGAACTTCTCAAATTAAAGCATTCGAACCAGATCAATCTTACCGTGAGTGCTTTCTTTTTCTTCTATTTTTTTCGAGAGATGTGAAGCCTGTTATAAAAGAAATGAGCTTTCCTTAAAAAAAAACAGAAGAAGGAAGTCTGGGAGCCTTCTAGCGCACGTTAAGAATTATGAAAGGGGGCCAGAAAGAAGTATTTGTGCAAATGCATGAAGTGGTTTGGTCCCATATGACGAGCCCAAAACGTTTAGTAATAATTCATTGAGAATGGATATTAAAAAAATACCATAGAGAATTTCGAAGCAAAATATTCTTTTCTTATTAAAAGTTGAGAATAAACCGAAGAAAGACAAGAGACCTGAAGATCATAAAAAAAGACATAGATAGTTGGTTATGAGCCCAATAAAGACATGAGACTCGAAGACCGTCACGAGAGTAGAACATAGAATAGCATAAGTTCAAGCATCTTCCTCGGTTCCTAAGACCTCGTTCTCTCGAATTTCGCGTAAGAGAACTCCTGCATTGGTCCCGAATTGATTAAAGGGGAGAATTGACGAAATGAACTCCACAGCTGTCTCGGGCCCAAGAGTAGAATCGGACATGAGATGCTCCAATAGAGACAGATCAAGAGGTGAAATCCTTACCTCAGCTTTGGAGAGTTTCTCTTTAGCTTCCACCTAAAATAATAAAAAAAAATATTAGGTCACGTAAAACTGAGTATCGGAAGATATGACATGATTGATCGTTAAGGAAACGAACTCGAGTTCAGCTTGAAAGTCCACGATCTCGCCTTTAACGATTTCCTCGAGGAGCTCGTAGTTAGCTTTCGTCTCGGAAGCCATGACAAGAGGCCCGCGTACAGCATCCCTCCCTGCCAAGTGTAACTTCACTTGGCTAAGTATATCTTTGCATGTCGAGGCAATTTTGTTCTTGCGTCGCGAGCAGAGTTCGTCACGTCAAACTCACGGCTATCAACAAGCAATTTGTACTTGGCTTCGATTTCGCCAAGTTCAGACTTCAACGACTCTTTGTCATTGGTTAGTTCGATCAAAACATTGCTAGCAACAGAAAGTTTCCCCTTATAATCGTCTCGAGAAATCTCATCTTCTCGCAACTTAAACTCTAAGGCCCTAACCTTAGTGAGACGCTCCTCAAAAAGCTTTACGGCTTCAGCACTCTCTGTTGCTGCAGCACGCAAATTCTCAAGCTCAGCGTTAAGGGCAGTGGTAGCGGCGTTTGTCTCTGAAGGATCAACTGGAGGAGGAACACTCTGGAGGCGACGTTCGTATGAGTCAATAGTCCGATTGTAGGCGGCGATAAGCTACAAACACAAGATTGCTTGTCAAAAATAAAATAACATATATGTTCGTATTTCTCGAAGAACGAAATGAACGGTAAGCTAGAAAGGAGCTACCTGCCCAGCGCATGACGCAAAGCAGTGATAATTCTCGTTATCTTCTTGAGCTAGCCTGTTAAACGGTGGAAGCCTACACCCCGGCTTCCTAAAGTGTCTGAATAAATGAGCCGTAGATGCGGCATCCTCCGTGATTAAGTAGTTGGAGTTGAACTCGAAGTCCCAATAATACCGTAGCTTCTTCGCTCCACTCCGGGTTTTAACCCCAGTCTCTGAAATCTTTCTCTTGTTCCGACCTGGTTGATTTCCTTAATCAGTATCACCAATGACCAAAGCGGTCGGGGCAGTTAGTTTCGACGACGATGCGCGAGAGGACCCGGCAGATCGTTTCACATTTGGGTTGCTCGAAGCAGGTATTCCCGAAACCAAGGAAAACCTAGGCCCAATAGGAGCAACGATCGCAAGTTGAGCATCGCTGGGTTCAACGGGACATGGAGCACTCGGTGAAATGACCAGAGTGAGACCAGCTGCCTCCTTTGTCTTTTGGATTTTCCGTCCAGCGCGATAACCCGTTTCCGACATTATAACAAACAACCCATGGAAAATTGAAAGTAACCTTGAAAGGCAAATAGTCGAAACAAAGGAGGTAGAAAAAGAGAAATAAGGAAAGTATATTACCTCTTTGCGAAGCAAACGTGATGTGAACAAGACAATATAGAGAAGTACCTTTATACAAAGCCTTGGGCGTGGAGAAGAAGATATCAAAAATTAAGATTTAATTCTGAAAGGCAATATTTGGAAAGTTCCCGCTATTATCCTCTAAAGCTGAATATTTGGGACGTGATTCAAATCATGAAAATATACGAGCATTTATGTCAAC